AAAGGGGGGGGGGGGGGGATAACTTGAATTCCACTTTCCCTGGTCTGATGTGTCAGGTTCAAGTTACTTACCAGACAAAGACCAGGGTGAATAGAGTGACTTAAGAGACCAGGGGATGGAGGGGAGTTGCTTGGCACACAAACAATTAGCACTCGTCCCTGCATAGCTTGCCGTGGCCCCAAATCCCCACATTTGTCCAGACAAATTGACTGGACCCCAGGTCTTGTTTGTCTAGCTCTGCTGGCCTGCTGGAGAGGGCTTGAGGGCAGCGGGGAATGCCCCCTCCAAAGAGGACAACCCATGGGAACAGAACAAATAACGAGCTCTGGTCAGAAAATTTGCCTTCCAACACTTTTCAAGACACATTGGTAAAATATATTAATTCCTTCTGTGCTTAATTATGCATCTAACCACTGGTTACATTGTAGTTTAGCTGTGTGACCCAAAGACCAGAAGCATACTGAGTTATAGGATAAAAGAGTAGGGACTCACACAGTGGAAATTGAGATGAAGTCTATACACTGATTTTCACAACCTCCCAAGTATAGTTATTACGGCAGTCCAGAAACAGCCAGTAGAAATGTCCATGTGGCAGTGCCAGGATTAAATCTGCTACTGACCCACAGCAAAAAAAAAATTATCTTACTGGTCTTCTTCTATCTGAGCAATACAGTTGTATGCGAAAGTTTGACCACCACTTGACACATTTTGGTGATTTTGATGCATTGTTTCGTTTCATGAATTGAATAAAACAATTAAAAATAAAAACAGCTTGAAAATGGCAATTCTTGTATTTGGGATTTTTTCCCCATTCTTCCTTGTAAAAGGCTTCTAAGGCGTCTTGCATGCACAGCTCTTTTAAGATCTATCCACAGATTCTCAATTATTTTTAAGTCAGGGGACTGTGAGGGCGACTCCAAAACCTTCAGCTTGTGTCTCTTTTGATAGTCCATGGTGGATTTCGAGGTACGTTTAGGATCATTATCCTGTTGTAGAAGCTTTCCTTTTTTTCAGCTTCAGCTTTTTTACAGAAGCTGTGATGGTTGCTTCCACAATTTGCTGCTATTTAGTGGAATCCATTCTTCCCTCCACCCATGCAATATTTCCTGAGGCACTGGCTGCAACACAACCACAAAACATGATGGATCCACCCCCATGCTTAACAGGTGTGCTTTTCCCAAATTGCTGCTCCTGTTTTCTCTGAACATGCCTTTGCTGATTGTGGCCAAAGAGTCCTTTTTTAACTTCATCAGTCCACAACACTTGTTTGCGAAACGCATCAGGGTTCTGTAGATGTTCTGTTGCAAACTTCTAACACTGGATTTTATAAAGTGGATACAGGTAGGGTTTTCTTCTACCGACTCTTCCATTAAGGTTTTGTTTGCAAAATCAGCTCTGGACAGTGGGATTCCTAAGTCTGCAGGTCTTTTGCATTCCCATGGAGGTTCTGATTTGCCTTCCAGATCTCATCTTGACCTCCACAGGTCCCTTAAACTGCGATCTCTTAACTAGATTTCACATTGTGGAAACTTCAAGCTGCATTGTGGACATCAGTGGCCATCAATAAGTTTCATTTTCAGTCTTACACAGCTGCTTAGAGGAACCCATGCTTACTGTACGTTCACACAAGGTTTGAAGAGTCAGAGTACTTGTAAATGGTTGAAATTTGCACCAGCTTACAACTCCTAATGATAATTGTTGACATGCCTCATGTTTAAGGAGCCGATGAAGGTCTGAGACCTCTTAATTTTGCTCTAGAGTAAGAGTAAAGTAGTCGCAGTGGTTCCCAAAGTAGGTTCCACAGTACCATTTAGTGCCTTGATGACAAAGGTGATGCAAGATGTCATATTGTTTCACCACAAAAATAGCAACATTTACATGAACTATGTTTTATGTTTTCAAACATATCAAAACAGAAGAAAAAAACAATACATTGTATTATATTTTTGCACTCTTTGCAGTGTCTGTATAACTGTTAAATTCTTCCTGAAGGCAAACATTTTATACTGGCGTGAAAGGAGCTGAGCGTCAGCCATGTTTTTGTAGTCTGAAAAATGTTATCCAGAATTCACAGTACATTTGTCTTATTTATGATCTGTTGGTTTTGTAGTTTTATCTAAGCAGCAAAGTCTGTCTTTTTGAAAAAGACAGTATCCCTGGAATTATGTTTACATTGGATGAATTTGCAGCATATCATTTTTAAGTCCAGCTGCCAGTTTAGTGCCAGTGCAGGAAGTAGTAATCCATTGATGTAGTGAAGCAGAAAGTAAGGGTTTGAAGGTCAGTAGTGAATGGGAGACTGGAGTTTGTGTCCTGTAACATATTTACAATTAAAGGGGACCTCTTATGCTACTTTACAGCTCTATATTTGTATTCTGGGAGTGCACTAGAGCAGCTTTGTATTTACATAAAAAAAAAAAAAACTCATTAATTTTTATACTGGGCCAGTCAATTATGCAGCCTCGCAGGTCAACATCTACCTGAAACAAGTCATTTTAGCGGCTGTCTTTTTAAGCCCCCCCTCCCTAAAAGCTTACTTTCTTGGAGGCCAGTTTGACAACAGAGAAGCCGAAAGTGGTTCTCTTGCTGGTTTGGTCCCTGCCACCCCAGAGCTGACCCTGCCATAACCCCCACTCAGGCCTCTGGACATGGGCGATGACCTATGCAGATCTCTGCCACAGCAAAAGTGGAGAAAAAGTCATGTGTAAAAAGACAACGTACTGAATCAGCCTGAGTTGTAACTGATGACTTTTCAACCATTAATATGTATGTATGTGTTTACATATGTGTCTACACATTACAAGCCTCAACACACTTGCAAATCTTTTTTTACACATTTACAAATCTGATTACGCACACACGGATTGAGTTACAGTTATATAACTCTCCACTCACATTTTGAAATAGTTTTGCTACAATAATGGCCCAATAAGCCTGAAGCCTGCTTACAGGGATTACTTTTACATACATTTACCTCATTATTTAAGAACTTTGGCCACATTTAATATGAACATTTGATATTGTAACATTGTACATAAGGGAAAGCCTGATAGGTCTCCTTTAATATTTTGGTTTTTTGTTGTTGTTTTTCTTTTTACTGTAATCACAAGTATTTTTAGTTGCCTAACTTTGGGGTCAGTCATTGTGGAGAAAGATAGGCGATTGTATATAAAAAATAGAAGATAGGATTAGACAAATTTAAGGATTAACATAATGCTAAAGAACTGGGTCTTCTTTACCATTGCCATGAAATAAGGTGCAGTGTAGTTTTTGAGTTGTTCTAAATTGTATATTCCCACAATGTACAACTGTTTCTGTTCTGTCTTGACAATCAAAAGAGGTGCATTTACACTTGCAGTATGTCCTTGGATGGCTACTTTCACCATCAATGCTTATATTAGACTGCCATCTAGTGCTTACTTTGGGAAAGTCTGACCCCACTATCCCCAGGCAGGCCTCTAAAACCTCAGACCAAGTAAGATAGTATCACCTTTTGCTCTCCTTGTCAACAAAGACTAGGTGGGTTTGATATTACTATTAAATATCAATAATGGTTGTGTCACAATTTTGATTTTATACCGAAAATCCAGTATCAACTATTCTCCCAATGTTTGTCAAATACTGGTTGAAACTTTTTTTAAATTGAGTTCCATCTGGTTCTTTTTCCCTATATAAATGTTTAACCAACATAACGAAAGGTGGTCAGAATCAGAGGAGAAGGTGCTGACACTCTTCAGGTATGACAAACTTTTCGTCCATAAATGGCATTGAAGAGAAAGAAAAGGAACTTTTAACAGATCATTTTTAACAATACGCTAAGCGAATAAGTACATTTACACACAACAACACACACACAACCCATGTATAAAGGTAAAATCAGAGTGGGAAATACATTTCATATTTCATGTCTATTGCTGCTTAATTTTTAAACAGTTTTTAACATATTTGCAATATCTGAAACTCACTTGGATAAGACTTATAGATAATGAGGCACACAATCATTTAATTTATACAGAAAGGACAGGAACAGGCATAAGGGTAGTGTAGCTTTTTATGTTCAAAATTATATTCCGGTGAAAGTTATGGAGGATATTAAGTTAGGATATTAAGAAATTGAGGTATTATGGTTTTAAGTTAATTTCTCTTGCATTAAATCTATTTTAGGTGGCTGCTGTTATAGGCCACCAAGCTCAAATCATAAGTACTTAGAAGCTATGGGTGAGATGTTGGATGGATGTCTCAGAGGAACGAGGCAAAGGAAACAGCACCAAAAAGCTGTTGTATAACTGACAGACAAAAATACTGTAAACTGAGGAATTATGTCACAAAACTTCATCAAAATAAAAACAAACAATATTATAATCTACAGGTAAGTAGGTCAAAGAACTATTTAAAAAAAGCTTTGGTACAGTACACTAATTATATAATAGAAAAAAACACCTCTCCACAACCTACAGAGTGTAAAGTACCTTTATCACAAAACCCAAAGAAATTACAAACTACTTGAATGATTACTTCGGAAGCAAGGTAGATAAACTAAGGAAATAATTATGTCATGAAACAGACAGCTTATCAATTGTCAACATAAAAAATATATGGGGGAGAAAACATTTTGAGTTCTGTGAATTAAAACTGGAAGCAGTCAACATGTAATGAAAATAACCAGGCATTGACGATAGATGATAAACTTATTAGAATGGCTATGGACTATATCACATGCCCAATTTGTCATATTTTAAATACCAGCCTGAAACAATCAATCTTTCCACAGGCTTGGAAAGAAAATAAGGAAACAGCTTATCAACATCATATTTGTAGGACTATATAGGGGTAAATTGTGTAAACTTTACTCATGCATGTTAATAAATTAATAATAATATAATAATGATTCATGTATATTTTTAAAGGAATTGACACCACTATCAAGCCTTATGTTTGTCATTTATGTTGATTGTAAGATTTAATGTATGTTTTTAAATGTGTTGATTTGTTTAGATTGTAATGTTTTTAAATGTGGACCCCAGGAAGACTAGCTGTACTTCAGGGCACAGCTAATGGGGATCCTGACAAATAAACAAATGTTGTTGCTGGTAAAGGTGTAGCTCATTTTAATAACTTTATACACCTGGGTAGCTTAATCTATAATAATACATAACTTATTAATTGATTTCTATTTTATGTTATTATGTGGATCTGCAAAGTAATCACTAACTTAAGTTAAAATGTGATGGAGTAAAAAAGAAAAAACATACAATATTTGAAAAAAATGTAGTGTAGTAGTATAACGTAGCATAAAATGGAAATACTCAAGTACCTCAAAATTGTTTGCACAGTACTTGCGCTGCAGTTAGACAGAAGTTTAAATCCAAAAGTGAACTGAATTGTGACTTTAAAATCAAAAGTCAACTCAAATCATTGATTTGGAGAATCATGACAAGCCCAATTTTATAATTGGATAATGCTGCCAGTTTGAAGAGCATCCTGATAATAACTGAAACTTAAAGAAACCGGAGGGGTTCACTAGTTCAACTTTAGAATATAGTTTATTATTAACATTAAAATAGATGAACATCATTTAACATGGGCCCACATTTTCATCCTCTAGGTGCTGTCACTGGGATAGTACCCTTTCAGGTGATCCTTAGTCACTGCATATGTCCATTACAACACTTGATTAATGCAGTAGTGGTATTTAAATCTCTTTACTAAAAATAAAGTACTAATTTCAAACACATTATCAAATTAAAACGTTTGACACCCCTGTCAACATATATATCAAGTTTACAAAATATTATCTTTTTTAATTTCGCAGCATAGTGATGAAATACACATTTTTAAATCATAATTCTTCATGAAGAAATATAGAAATATAGAAGTCAGTTTGTTTAAATTCTTTTTATTATGCATTCAGTAATTTCTGGATTTAATAAGTTTATTGTTCCCCTGGGAGGTGCTGGTTGTGATGGTCTAAGTAGAACTGGTTGTCGTTGAGC